CTGACTTCGCAAAAGACTACCAGCAGTCTAATTTTGTTGTAAAACTATTGTTTGTATTCTTCAAGTATTTATAATATGTGGAGAGCAAGCAGCAGGTACGTTGATTGAGTCTGACCAAGTCTGACGAAAACAAACAGCGCCCGGGGACATGTCGACCAACTCTGAATAGAACGTAATAACGACAGTTCTCATTTTTGATGCTGATTTTGTAGATCATGCACCTTGCCTTTTGTAAATAAGCGTAATTATGAGTTATCTGCAGTCTGTTATATTTGCCGAGCTGCTGTGTGCAATGTTGAGTACACCATATTGTAGCTTGTTGTTCTTCACAAAGAATGACCTTAAAGTCACTGGTCTGAAACATGTATAATGTTATTGGGAGTGACCAGAAGGCCGAGTGGGAAGCTGCCACGTGAAAGATTTAGAAATGCTGTAAAGATGAAAGCATTCCGGCAATAGCACTGCCCTTAGAGTCAACTAGCTCTTGTCAGTATGTCTGTTTTGCAAGCCTGATTGGTATCTTTAGGGGTCAAATACACCTTGAGCTGCACCTAGATTGACAACTCAACTTTTCCAACGAGCATCGCCGGCCATTTCAAATGGCATTCCTTGCCGGGGTCCTTACCATCATATCTATATCCTTCTTCTGGAGCGAAGGGGCTTTTTGACTTGTATCCTCTGATAACTCGCACAGGTCTGCCATTTTCAACATTTTTACTTAGTGCTAAATTTCCTGTTTGATCAAGAAATGATTAACAATTCAATACAGTTTACTTAAGATCTTCTCCACTTCACAACATAAACAAAGTAGGAAATATTTCTGGTAAAAGGAGCTCGCAGCAGAATATTATTACACTGTGCGGTTCAGGTGTACAACGGTTCCTTCACTTTCAATGTTTTCAGCCCTTTTTTCGTTAGCTTCCATAAATTTGAACAGTAAACCTACAGCAACTGGCACATTGAAATAACACACGATTCTAAGCTAAAACTGGACCATGTGTTAATTGTTGCTTACACCAGAAAAGTCGTTTTGGCGTGTTTAACTCAAATTAATATTCCATAAAAACAGAGATCAGAAGTAAATACTCCGGGGAGTCTACTATATTCTTGAGAATCTGTTGAAACATATTTTGCATGCAGACGAATCTCAAAAATATTTTTTCAACAGTAGAGAGTACACGTGTTACTTATTAACTAAAACATGACCGTTTCATTCACCTCTGGTTAGAGTTTGATCCTTGGATTGAGGTGCGGTCCGTAAATTCTGTTGATTACAAAAAAGAACCAAAAATTTAATAACACTAAATGTAATATAAGAATGAACTGGAAGTAATAAGCTCAGTACTATGAAAGCTTCTGCTATTTACAAGATAAAAACACTATGCCTTAAGGTTACCGTATACCTTCAGGGGTGTCTCACGTCCAAGCGATGTAGCGCGTTCGGTTTAAGCTGTAGATACCTAAACCCCTATATCAAATTAA